AAATTTAAATTAACTTTGTTCGTGTTGATATTTTTAATTGTTGTTTGTTATAAAACAAAATATTTTTTAGAACAAAACCGGATAAACATCAAAACATCACGTATTCCCTCTGTTTTTCCAAGTTGAATTCCTGCGGTCGTGTTTCTGTGTCGATCGTGATAATTCCGCAGCACGAGTTCGAAAACAATGCCCGCGCCCCAACGTTCAACCAAAATTCATACATCAAATTTTACCCGTTCCAATAAAACATTGAAGAACAAAATCATCAACAAAGCACTTTAATTTAAAAAATAACTCACATACGAATCGAATAGAGTCTTGTTTAGACATTATTTGTTATTATCAAAGAGGCGAAGTTTCGATCAAATTTTACAGAGTGGACAAACTTAATTAAAATTCTTCGGAAATACCGCCGGGAGTTTAGTTAGCACGTGGTGATCAACGTTTTCGTACAAAGCGGCGACTACGACGGCGCCCCTCCAGAAGCAATAAACCCGTTTCGGGTCCGGTTTCTGACAACAAAAGCCGTCCACCGAAAACGATGGAGGGCAAATAAAAATTTTCACCTCGACGGCTCACAGTCGTAAATAACGAGATTTTCACCCGACAGTACCAGTACTAGCAACCCCACCACCAAAACTACCTCAATGTTCCAAAGATCCGCTTTCCTATTGCACCAACACAATATTTATTTTATTTTTTAAGGATTTTATTTCGTACTATTCCATAAATACTAATAAAGGGAGTATTAGATCTAGTGTTAGTCCTAGTTTCTAGTCAAATTTATGAAAATTAGTACCTTAATATCAACAATGTATATCAAAATTTTTTTAGTCATGTATTTTTAAATGCACTATGTAATAATAACATGTTTTATAACTTCCCTATTATACGCAAAACTGACCACTCCCTTGGGGTATTCAAACCAGTACTAAACCAATTTTCCCCTAACTTCATACTAAACTACAGTTATACTAAACTCGTTAATTAAGAACGTGTATTAAAGTTAGTGGAAACTTCGCTTTGACTGCTTATAACGTAATAATTGCCGGTTTATATAGGTTAAGAACATTTCAAGACCGAAATGAAACCGATTAACGAACGAGATTAAAAGTGGTACGTACAATATCGTTCTATTTTTAACTCGATTCAAAATCGGTTTAGATATAAGAAGGAGGTCATCGGAAAGATCCAAGATCAGACGCGTATATGATTTACGTGGCTTTTGTTTTCCGCTTCAGCTCCCGGTGTTTTGTTTTTAATCCCCGAGGGACCATGAAACCGGGGCGTTTGAACGAGTTTTCCGCCGCTAAAAGCCTCAACTTTCAGAACGCGATCGGAATACGAGAGATGCATAAAACGACGCCTCAGCCTTCGCGACGCCCTCGGCGTCGTCATAATATTTTCCGCATGTCATTCGTCTCTCCATCGAAAATAAAGTTACCTTCGTTTTCTTTTTTTTTTATTTTTAACCTACATTTTGCATGTATAACATGTTTTGCTGACGAGCATTTGAAAATATTCAGTTTCATTTTTCATATTTCACAATATATATTTTTAGATGCAATTAAGGCTAAGACATTTAGACACTTGATATGAAAAGTCTTGGTGCATAGTTTAAAAAGTAGAATATATTGTAAAAGATGACATCCTTCAATTTTGTCGTAACCGATTACCATTACCGATCATATTTGCAGGATTGAAGGATGACATGACGACGACGACGAGACCTTTTACGCTTTCCTTTGTGAAAAGACGACGCGGATTTGGGTGCGTTTGCAAGGCAAATTTCGTATGGAGAACCTCGTCACCGACCTCTTTTATCCCCATCCCCTAGCGTTTTGTTCGCCATCTGCACGTCTAGGCTTTCCTCACAAGAGAGGTGCAATTTCGACCCCATTATCTACCGCCATCCAAACGGTAGAATGGCAGAAGAGAAACCCAACTTATTTGATGGCATTAGTAAAACTTTGTCTATCCCTTTCTCTAAATCTGTCTTTGTCTCATACTAAATGATGATTTAATAAGATACAAACAATAGAGTTTTGCATGGATTTAAAATTAACCGAATAGGAAAGATTTCAACAACTGTGGTGACTGACTAAGTATTCCCAAGACGATCACTCGGCGTAAGATAAGAAAGTTTCAATGTGTGCCACTTGTTCCTCACACTCGGTGCAGTTAATATAGACGCGAACTTGTCCCTGTGCCATTCTAATGTAGATAAGTGGTTGGCGTAAAGACGCCAAAACTTAGTAAACTTTGTCGCCAAACTATTCCCCGACCAGAGACATAAATTAATACACGATAAATTCGAACAATCTAGGTGAGTTCGCAAGCACGGAATTGTTACTCGGCCACAATCGATCGTCAAAACCGTTGGATGGCTCTCGGTGAAATACGGCGATAATGAGGCTGTTTTTCCTCGATTAACGCTTTCGTAATTATTCCCGGAGATAGATCGCCATCCCTTCGGGCACCGCGATAGTTATTATTACAATCGGCACGAGTTGGTTTCCCTTTGAAAATTATTACTTAATTTAGAGAGAAAATTACTCGAAGAATTCTGACAATTCACAACTAGATAGAAAATGTTCATCCATCATAGTTACTCCGGTATTAACTTCTAACTCAATTCGCTTCAGAAAAATACCCCGGAATTATAATTTCAGACAGATAGTAAATTCAATCTGAATCCCCATAGGATGATAGTGTAATAAAATCGTGAAAAGTCGTAAATTTATAATAATGGATGGATTCAGTTTCGTGTTTAAAATAATTTCGTCTTAAAATTTTGATTTAAAAATTGATATATTCGTTAGAGGAGAAACATTAAATGATAATTACAAGATTTTGATGTACATAAAATCTAAAATTCGATAAAATGATTGTGTTCTGATCGTGGCAGTCTTTAGAGTCCAAATCACAGCTTCATATAACAACACCGACCAGATATAACCTTTCATCATTCTTTAATGTAATTTTAGGTTTAAGTTGTCATTACAGAAGAATGATTTCATTCTTAGAAATGTTATACGAGCTGTTTTATTTCTGCAGTTCATCTCTTTATCTGGATCTGGTTGTTCCGTGATGTAGTCTATCACTGCTTTCAGTTTCCAATACAAGTTTTTGAAATCATCGATAATTTGGTGGTCGTGGCAAGAGAGGCGGTTTAGATGAAGGAGATGATAAGGTCGCTGGAGCGATATTTTAAAGCGAAGGGGTTGGAGGTAAACATCGAGAAGACAAAGATCTTCAAAGTTCTAGATCTAGTGTTACTTCTAGTTTTACACTAGCACTATCAAAAGACCTAGAACTAGAATCATACGGGTTTAGCCGTCTTGAAAGCCGTGCGGCTAAACCCGAATGTTTCTAGTTCTAGGTCTAGTGTTAGTTCTAGTTTTAGTTCAATAAAAATATGCAACATAGTGATATCTTATATTAACTAGCGCTACCTACCACTGTCACCACTGTCTAGTGTTAGTTCCTAGTTTTAATTGTTATTCAGCAATTAGGTTGTGGTTTATTTCTATTGAACGAAAAATAGAACTAACACTAGAACTAGAAACATTCGGGTTTTGCTTACCTTTTTGCAAGCAAAACTTTTTTTTTGCAAAACTACTATTAAGCTATGTTACATTTAATGTGTAACAGTGCAAGTGCATAGTAGTTTCGTAACTATGATTACTACATTCATATATTGCGAGTTATATGAAATTCGTTTCTAAATATATGGAGGGAATTTAATCTTTACATGCAAATAATTGAATACAATTTGATTACAATAATCTTAAAATAGGACAAACCCATCATATTACAATTTTTAAGATTCCTCGCAATTTTATGCCACTGAGTTGGCAATGTGTGAGGGTGGACTATATTCTGATATTCGGTCCTTTTCGCGGCTATTCGCATAGCCTGGGGCTCAAGAGGACGCTTTTATCTGCTGAGGAACCTTATAAACTGGAAATCCCTCCACCTTCTCACACGGAGATACCCGGGATTCTATCGAAGATCTATAACGGACATCCGCGCGTTCAAGAGATGGATCAGATTTACTCGCGTTTTATTCCGTAGTTTGGATTTTATTGGCACAGTTAAACTGGCGACGATGTCGAGGCGTCGCAAACGGGGACTTAACGAAGGTTCTTATTTTGAAAATGGGGGGATATGTTTTTAAGTTAATGAGGACAATAAAATTTCGTTTTTCGTTGGAATCTAAAAATTTTCTTTTATAACAATATACACCACTTAGTTTTTTTCGTTTTTCCTTTACTTTTTCTTTCTTTTTTCTGTGGTAATGTACGGCCACAATCGACAACGAATTACCGCCCAGGTTTTACCTCGATTTCGAACAATTGATTCCACCCCTGCCTACAATCCTGGAACCCCCAACCCAACCCCGGATGTCTTTTACCTTAATCGAACCGCTGTCGTCTTAAGGGAAAATTGGATAAAGGGCCCTTATTTGTTGCCGCAATCTTCGCGCTCAAAGGACAAAGGGTGTTGTTCATGGTACGATCAAACGTTAGTTCTAGATCCTCGCTTGAGGCTATATCTATATTCCGATTTTCATGCAGATTATAACCTATTTCCAATCTACACAATTCTCCATGTAACTAAATGATCTTAAAAAACTTTTAATACAACGAGGTTTAACTGGAATAAACAAAAATTGTTTTTAATTAACTTTCTTTCAATTCTAAATTTGATAAAGCTACCTAATCTAACAACCGCAAAAAGGTCAATTCGAGTAGTGATACATAACCTACTTCGACGTTCCAAACAAACTACATCCGACGACGCGATGTATCTCCTGGCGATGGTGTCGCAAACTTTTCAACCTTCCACAGTGATAAATCACGACCTGTCCATTTTCGAACGGGCGGAAATATTAATCCGCCACCCCTCAAAAAAGAAATAAAAAACCAACTTTTCGCAAATATTTACGACGCCAACATGTACCAATTTAAAACATAGTTTTTTTTTTTTAATTTTAGGTTTCTGTTTCTAACGCAAGAAAAGTTACTCTACTTTCCGTAGGACGACCTCTATCGGGAACGTTTCAGTGTGAAGTTTCAGCGGATGCTCCACTTTTCCATACCGAAATGAAAGCTGCAGAAATGACAGTTGCAGGTAAGGTTTCATGCATTTAATATTTTTATTAGCATATTAATGTCTCGATTTAGACCGGACATCTATCATATCAGAGAGCCTCCTTTTGGTAGCGGTAAATTTTTCGAACATGACATCCGCTATAAGAAAGAGGATACGGTGTGGGGGTGGTGCTCGTCTCCGCGAACTCAACCATTTGCAAGTCAAATTAAACAACACTTTTCTTAGGACCGGGGAACCCCGCGTGTCGACGCCCGACATCTGCATAACAATTTTGCATTACAAATTTTCCCGCCCTCGGCAACGACGGCGTTTTTTTAAAAATGTCGCGCCATTTATTACATGGACTATGAAGTTGAGGGAGGGTCGAAGACACCAAGCTTCTTTGCTCAGGGGTTGATTAAAAATTTCACTGCGATTTTTTAATTATTCCAACCCAATTAATAAGCACTTAAAAATTCTAGAATAATTACCATGAAGGTGAGCGAAATAAAAATCAATGACTTTTATTTATAAGATTCTGATTCTGATTTATTTCGTATCTTTATTTATTTATTTTTATCAACATCAAATACGATACTAAAAATATGAATGAGAGGCAATTTCATAAAATCAAAGCGATAAATTTCAATTGAAAAATAAATGCCATGTGACTGACTGGCGTTGAATATTTTATGACGACGTGTGGTCCAATTTTTCGACGGAAACGTTAGCCTCGTCCCTAGGGATTGTGAATTTTTCCCGAAAAGCCGTCCTGACTGGAAAACTATAGACTTTGAGAGTAACCGTAGTGCGGAAAATCGAACAATTTGGCGTTTGTAATACGACGCCTTCGCGGACCATCAATATTTTATAGTTATAGATTATTTTCCAACGGTTCCCCGACAATAGACTCGAAGCGTCACCATTAAGCCCGAAGCCATTTCGTATAAATTGCCCAGACGATGAGCTTAAGTACTAATTGCGTCTCTTGTATAAATAGAGCAGTTTCATTTCACTTAAAAATCACTTAGCTTATTACTTTTTTTATTATTTGTTATAGTTAAAAAAAATGATAATAAAGCGTTTGTTAAAGAAATAACGCCTCCGTTTATGGGATCTTTTAACGTTCGTCTTCTTTACTTTACGACCAAAACCGAGCTATAAACGGATTTTTATGAATTCAAAACAAGTCAAGATATTATCCCGGTTATTATTCTATATGGCGGTTTTCGAAAATATTATACTGAACGTCGTTCGAACAAAGGAAAAATCCGTAGAATACGTATTTGGATTTCCTCCGATGGGAGATTCACTCTGGCGTGCTGCTGGTAGATATCAAGAACAAAGGTCTCGGACATATTTTACGCATCGCGGGGGCTATTTGTCCTTTGCAGTTGTGGATGGCGTTAAATGGAGAGGCACCGGAGTGATTGTGACCTCCCTGAAGCGCCGCTGGGCAGGACGAAGTTCGCTTGAATTTACGATGAGCTCCAACATCGAGTCGTGCATACTATATTTAGTACGGTGATATAGTGGTGTACATTTTTATAAGATTTTTCGAAATATTACCATGGATAATTTTTTTTAGGTGATATTTGATGAAAAAATGTATGAACATACTAATGTACATACTAAAATACATACTAAATCTATATATATATGACTATGAAATATGTTTGGAAAGGCACAATGAATGACACTTCGATTCTGTGATGTTGTGACAACTTTTCTACATCGCCAAATTTGTTTATTTACCTAAATCGTGATACATATACGTAACATGCCTACTATTAGAAAATCTTAAGGCCAAAACTATAAGCGTCGCAATCCGCACTATTTGATTTTCAATTCAACTCGATTCAACTCGTGGGTTTTGAGTTTGTTAGTTGTGCAATAATGATTGGAAAAGAATCGATCGTGCAAGTAAGAATTGAAATAAAGCAGCCTTTGAAGATCTTGCTACGAATCCAGAGTGTAACGCACCTAGAAGAACACATGGTCATCAGCTATCGTTAATAGCCTTCTGATGAACTTAAAGTGGCCAAAGTGGTCCCTGTTTTCAAATCGGATAATCCAGATGATTATAAAAACTATAGACCTATTTCTATACTTCCTGTTTTTTCAAAAATCTTTGAATCTTTATTAAAAAGCAGATTTATTGAGTATATGAAAAATAACAAATTATTTAATGAACCTCAGCACGGTTACAGGGGACAAAAGTCTACCACTTCAGCTCTAACTAGTTTGGTTGATGCTGTGGCACGTGCGTTTGACGAGAAGGAGGTTGTTCAATTATTATGTGGTGACTTGTCAAAGGCTTTTGATTGCGTCCAACATGAAATTCTGATCAATAAACTGGAACATTATGGTATAAGAGGTCTACTGAATCAAATAATTCGTAGTTATGTTAACAATAAAATGCAGTGTGTAGAGTGGAAAAGTCGAACTTCAGATGTTACTAATATTATATCTGGTGTCCCACAAGAATCAATTCTGAGCATTGGGCCCAGAATTGATGTATTATTTACATAAATGATCTTTTGTGCTAACGTCGAAAGATAGAGTTGAACTTGAAAATAAGTCAAAAGTTGTTATAGCCGAAGCTGCGGAATGCTTTGGGGCCAACAGTTTGAAACTTAATGTCGAAAAGACGCAAAAACTACTATTAACAACTAAAATTGAGGGACGGGAGCAAGAACCTATTAAATTCCTGGGGTTATATGTTATGTCAAACCTAAGCTGGAACCTTCATGTTGAATATCTTCAAAGATGCCTGGCTGTAGCAATATTTACGGTCAGGCGCATACGGGCTATAGCTGCATATGAGTATTCCAGAGAGATTCAACGCTTTAAAGGAATCTGAAGTTTTCAACCAATGATGTAAAAGCAGTTTAGAACATTGAAGCCGATGAGAACGTATGTCATGTCTATAATGAAGGGACTGACTGAGTGGTATGTGCATGCTAAGTGTTCATCAAGAGAAGATTTTGAAATTTTGCTTCTTGCTTCGCTAAGACATTTTAAATTGAATAATTTGAATGACATCAACTACAATTGAAGTAAAATACTGTTCAATTTATTTTAATTCAAAATTGGATCGAAAACTATAAAAATTACTGAGATAATGTGAACGTAACGATCTAGGTCAGTCCTCGACATAGTCGAGTTTCTCATTATACACCACCCACCGCAGAGGAGCACTTATATCAAGTTATTGGTACAACAATATCCAACTAAATAATCTAAATTAATCTCACACATTTCCGTATATAAATAAAATTAATTTTGTGTTTTATTTGTTGGCTTCGTGTATAAAACCTATCTACCATATGTTAGCGACACAATAAGCGTGCCACAAAAAAAAAAAAAGAATTCCTGTCATTAGTTAACGCGAAAGGGGTTTGTAAGGAATGGTTCGTTTGACGCGGGGAGCTAAAAAGGAAAGACTTTTATTATTTGGCCGATTCGGTTGGGCATTGTTGTTTACTGTCTCCGCTCGTCCTTTTACGACCGGCCGTTTACGACATTTTTACTCCTTTCTATTCTAATGGTCTCGTGAACAAGACAGTGTCTCCACGTGGCGCGATCCCCGAAAGTATAAATCCGACGACGCCGGTTAGTTCGCTATCAGCACCCAGTTTTACGTCCAACTAGGACGATAAAGCTCGGAGGACGTTGATTAATTTGTAAAAATTGTGTTTCTCTTTCTCCATTTTCTAGGTCCTTCTTCAGTTAGTTTTTTAGTGATTTAAAGTGACTTAGTTTCGAGTAAAATCAAACAAGTTGAATAAATGTTTAGATTTTAGAGAGTGTGCTAAACCAAACATCAATCCGGCTTTACAATCGTAAACGTTCGAATAGGTTCTCGTGTTTGCTGGAATAATCTCGAGCATTATTAATGTAAGGAGACGACGACGTCGACTCGGACCGTTCCAAAATTTGCAATGCAGAAGGCGTCTTTGGATCTGCATAAGCAGTCGAGCCCGGGGGTTAGCTCGACGAGCGTCGACGCCGTCGGCAGCAGGAAGAGCGCCGTCATTTATTAGGAAGAAATATCCTGTTAATATCCTGTGACGATCAATTCCGTTTATAGGCTATCACCTCGTTCTCGGAAGGCGAAGGCGAAACTAAAGCTGCGTTTAAAACGGTTAACGTCAACGATTAAATAAGAATTAGCTTCCAAAAAAAAAGGAGGACAAGGAAGTTGCCACGGAAGGTGCGCGAAAAATAGCGTGGAATAATAAAGGCCGAATGAAGTTTTATTATCTCGTGAGCGGGATAATAAAGTAGGGGAAAAAATTCGCTCGACTTTGACGTCCACACAAAGGAGTTTATAAATCGCTTTTTTCTTTTCGGCGTGAAGAGAGAGGGTAACTCGGGGAGTAGGCATTGTTTTTGTATTAAAAAAGTTTTTTTTTCTTATTGTTGTTTAGGGCAGGACTTGGAAATTAATCTTTCTTTACTCCATTTTATTTCCGACTAGTTAGTCCAGTCCAATCGAAATCGACGTAATCTCCTCTTATTGCGGTATTGTGTTTGTTTACCTTGGTTTAACTCGATTTCCAATTCTAAAGGGTAATTAGGCCGTTATTAACTGGGCAAACTAATTAGTTGGACCTGATTAATCGTAGCGGCGTTACATAAAACCGCGCATTGTATCCTACACGTGCATTTACGTTGTAAACCAAACGATCACATCATCTAAACCCATTCCGGTTCATAATCAGTTTTTAACACAAAGGGAATTTATGTTCATGTCATATATTTGTGGATAAAATTAGAAAAAATGATTCGATTGAGTTCGAAAATGAAAAAATTTCTTTATTTCATGGATTTCATTGTAAAAAAAACACAAATAATGACGATCATTAGTCGATTACTTAAACATCAAGACGAACTGGAAAGTCAATGGAAAAATAATAAAAATCAATCAGGATCATCTCGTAAAAGATAGAAGGACGGAAAACAGCCTGAAGTAGACGGAGTGCTCAAAGGATGGTTTTGGGAAGTTATCCAAAGAGGAGTAAATGTCAGCGGACCATATTTAAAATCAAATGTAAAAGAATTGGGGCGGAAATTAGGAATGAAAATTTTATAGCAACGGAAAGTCGGTTTCTCGTTTGAAGGTAAGACATGACGTAAAATTTAAAAAGCGCCCAGAAAATACCTTTCTTTTTGTGTGCAGATGAGATTGTAACTCAAAAATTAAAATCTGAAAAAATATCTGATGTGTACAAATTAATAAAGAGATAATTCTGAGATTATGTTGTTTATAATTGACCAATTTTAGTCATCTACATCTCAATTGGAAACATAATCCGCAGTGAATACGAATATGGAAATGCGCCATGTCAATACTCGCTAATTATCTGCATACAGTTGTTCAAACTATTTCGTAACTCTACCGACTAGAAGTTTAGTTCTCAATAAAAAAAAATGAGCAAATCTAATTAGAAAACAAATTACGGACGAAATGTTAGATTCGAAAACTAAAAGAATTACGTTATTTTTTCGAATCTAATACAATATATTGATTACAGTTGTCAATAGATTTGTAAGCAGAAACTATTGCTAACCGATTACTTTCTAAAAATATGCTAAATGTGCTGCTTAAATAATTAAGTATGCTACTAAAAAAGAATTAAGATTATACTTTTAGCATATCCAGGGTCTATCCATGACATCAGGATTTTTCGCCTTCTCCACTATCAGACAAATTAGCAGATAATTGCGAAAAGTTACTGCATTTTCTTTAATTTTAAAGATTTTGAACACGTTGAGGATCTAGTAATAATTGATCAGAACGATAAGCAGCGTGAAAATAAAAATGTGTATGACGGGAACGAAATAATGAGGTGAAATAAAATTTTTGATAGTGTATTGGTCCACTTTTAAAACTTGTTTTTGAAGGAGGTTGTAAGATGGCATCCAAAACGCCTAACATTATTGTAACAGACGCACGGCATAACCCGGTAGTTTTTAATTTTAGTTTTATTTGTAACAACATCGGCCATGAAAGCCTGTAACTTGTAACACCAATGTATTTTTGTGCGTCCATAACATGCTGTTATAGGAATGATCTTCATGGAGACCAATTAATTTGGAGATTTCCAACATACAAGTTTCTAATAAAAAGTTTCTAACTAAAAACATTTAAGTTGTCATTCCAGTTGTCTTAGATGACCCAATGGCTCTTCTTAGAACATCCAATTTGGAACGATTTCCAACAGATTTAAAATAAATTTTAAATCAATTCTGCGTACAAACTTAATAACAAGATTTTTGTTAACATCAACGTTGCTAAACAATGATAAAGAGTAGTTAGTTCTAAAGTGAACGTGCTACTATGATACAAAGACGTGGGAAAAGGAAATTAATATTTGAGAGCTTGATAAAAACCGTAATGATGTATGGGGTGGAGATATGGGGATGGAAGGAGCAAGGGCTTTTAGAGGATGTGCAGATCAGGTACTGGTACGGAAGAAATTAACAGGAATACAAGAGAGAAGGACGGCGATAAGGGAAAGTAGGTACAACTTAAAATATGCCGAAATTGTAGCGGAAGGGCTACCAAAGTACCTGAAGATGAAGGGGGATGAGGAAGGGTAGCCAGGTTTAGATGTGGCAATGAAGAAAGGGGCCAATAGATATTGGATGGAGAATAAGAAGGGGGGGTGCAGACTATGTGGGGAAGGCTGGGAGTCTTTACACCATCTGTTGGTGGAGTGCAGTGAGTTGAGGGAAAAAGAGGTGGTGGCAGCGAGGAGACGTAGGGTGACTGGTTAAAGGAATAAGCATTATATAACCTATAAGTATTGTACTGTGATAATTTTAACATTCTCTTAGTTCACCGAGAGAACATAACCTAGAATTTGTGACAGAGAGATTTTTTGTTGGTGAAAATCTTATCTTAAACCGTTTTGTTTACTTCCAAATGTATCAATTATTATAGTTCAGCTCCTAAAGCACATTTTTCATCCATCGTTTGAGGTTTTAACGTTATTTTGAGGAAGAAATCCTTGATTTAAATTTGAATTTTTCTAACTTTACTCATTGTTGAAATTTGGCGTGTACTCCAATGTATGTCTAAAAACAAGAAAAGACAACGTTGAATACGAAGTTTTATTACGTTTCATAAAGGAATAAGGGAGAAATCAACGAAAAAAGAATTAAATTTTGAAGGTTAATTCCGAGAAAAATCAAGAGATGACGCTAGTTTCGAAGCAAGAATTTTGAATTTTGAAAAGGGCGCGAAGCTAAGAGCCAATCAGAAACGAGGAAAAAACAGTTGGAGTGCCGGGGTATATAAGGAGATCGCGAACAGGGAGTAAAAGAGTCGTCGTCTGACCAGCGTCGAATCCACGTCGTCAGATAGAAGAAATTTTGAATCTCAAGAGATAACCTCAAAAATTTAAGATAATTTTTTAAAGTCAAATCAACTTACGATATTAAAATAAAAAGAGAATCATCCTACAACCTATTCCGAGAACTACTGATACTTCTTCGAGATCATCCAAGACCCTATTTCCGAAGAACAAGCAGTTCAATTTCCCGTAAGAAGAATCCTGTAGACAATCCAGAAAATTAGTTAGTGCCCCAAACACAAGAGACAATCCATAATCCAGATACCACATTGAACTGCAATCCTTTCTTTTTCACAGTGAGTCGGATGATAATTTTATTTTATTATTTAACATAACCTACAAAAAGAAAATCAAACTCAAAGAACAACTCACAAGAGTTTCCTATAATTTTGATCAATACTTACTTGTGGGTAAAGATTTATTAGTTTTCTTGAATAACGTTCATTTATTTAATTCTATTATTTAATTCTTCTTTTTTTTTTAACGAGTTTGATGACAACTTAAGACATTGGCCATTTGTTATTTTTCAAAGAACGGTTCTAACGAGTTTTATCCTACTCTCTCTCTCTCAAATAATAAACGGGTTCTCTCTAATATCGATATTTCAGTCGATAACCGCAGTTATCTTTGATTATATATAATATGGATTGAGCTAACTGAATATATCTACTAACAAAAATGTTGCTCAAGTGAATAGACGCAGATGGAAAGCGTTAATGTGAAAGTGTAACAAAGATAGATATATTATATGTCAGTACGCTTCTATATCTATCTCACTTCTATCAGTACACCCATTATATGGCAGTACGCTTCTATATCTATCTCACTTCTATCAGTACACCCATTATATGGCAGTACGCTTCTATGTCTATCTCTGTTCGATCACCTTGCGCAAGCTATCTCTCTCGTTGGCTCAATCCATATTATATATAATCAAAGGCAGTTATCTATTTTATTTGAAAATTTATCTCTCGTAAATAAGCATTGTTATTAAAGTAAATTTAGGAAAACCATTTTTTTTTTGTTAGTCATAAAACGAGTTAATTTGATTTTGTGTTTAATTAAATGAATTTTTTGTCGAACCTGATTAATATTCTTTTGAACCTGAACTTGCCCGAAACCCTGAGTTTTTAATAAGAGTCTCTTAAAATTAAAGAAACCCAAATTTATAGTTTAATAACTTGTGTAAAACTCACTAGTGAAACATCACAGTACTTAGTATAAATTGTAACCTTCTGGGAAACAAATTATTATTAATACAAATGATACAATTTGTAGCAGACAGTTGGAAAAATACTTTCTCCAACTGGTGATGTAGATCACGAATCAACAACGTTGAGGATTTTTGAAATAGTGGAAGTACAATGAAACAGAAAAACCATATAGGTTAACAGTACATATTAGTGTCCAGATTACCCTGAACATATAATTTTTTGTAATTCGCGACGGTAATGAAAGCTATAACAGTACTCAAACGGTTCTGTAATGAGACTCCTTACAGCATCCGATACTGTAATGAGATTTTAGTAACATTTTATGGAACCAGTTCAAGTTGGTGATATTGGGTTATAAATTTTTTTAGTTGTCAATGTGACAAATTTTTGTCTATGGATGTTTAAAAACGTTCTTAGCATCGAATACAAGATCCACAATGATGAGGACATTGAACTTTGAGCAATTTCTCTTATTTTGGGAGGTGTACATGAAACATTTTTTTCAGGTCAATACATCTTGTGTTTTGACAGTTTCTAATTGTCAATTCAAATTTCTATTTTCAAGTGTTACGGTGTTACCAACTGCTACATACCTATGTATTTCCCTACATTGTCAAAATTTATTTTATTTTTGTTAAAAAAAAAGGATAAAAACGCGAATTACAAAAAGTAGCATAAACACGTTTCATAAGACTTAAAGCACTCATTCATTAAAAAACTCGTGACTTCGTCACTCGTTTTTCAACTTGAATTCGTGCATTTCAAGCTTGTCTTACGAAACTTGTTTTTTAATAATATACTATTAAATAATATTGATATTTTGAACAGTTATCTAACTAGTTTTTTATCTATCGAAGATTTTCAATCACATTTTTCACTGTGTTAAGCACAAATACGTCAATGAAATATCAAACTCTATATGTTTTAAAATTGAAAATCCTATTGGGAATTGAATTGTATTCAGTCAGTCAGTTCAGTAACGCTTCGTTGCGGACCGACTCGTTTTCACGTAAAATAAAGGGTGGTTCTCGTTGGAAAAAGTCGCACCGAATAAATTAAGGCTGCGCCTCGAGGGGGTAGACCATTAACAAGCGGGGATTAAAGTATTTTAAAACAATTACAAGCTCCGCCCCGGGCGAACCGAAAACCTCGCGGAGCCGCGTCGCGGGCACTTTTCTACGTGACAAAATTTATGCGCGAGTTCCATTCGGAATTCGTTCTTTTTTACAGTTTTTTTTTGATGCCCGTAGCGTTAGCTCGTTCCCGGTTTACCGCATTTATTTTATGTTTAATCCCTCAAAGGATGGTCAGCTTTGAACCATATCCAACACAAAGCGCCCGGTCTATAAACAACCACAAAAATACAAATATTGACAACCTTTTGATGTTTCTTTCTTATGAAATCTCTTTATGAAAATGTTCTAGTTCTGTAAAAATTAATTCTGTATTCTTATGGTATTTTAACGGTTTAATAAACCCTTCCTCGGCCGCCATTCTCCGACCCCCTTTTTCTGGTGTGAGAGACAAATCACTTCGTCCGCACCACCCGGCGGCGGACGGCGGTTTTTCACCCCAGCCGCTTCTTTGGCGGCACGTTCCGTAGGGGACAGTTGGCACGCGTCCGCTTGTAATGTTCATTTCCGAGGTCCGTTTCAAACCTATTTATCAGCACAAGCGACCTCTTTTTTCTACTTCTTTCTTAGAAGCCAATTTCTTAAATTTTCAGCATTTTGTTATTGTTCCAGTTGTTCCTGATGGTGTTCCCAACGTTGCTGTTGATCGAGCTGGTTTGGAACGTGGTGGGCCTCTTATTGCTGAATGTATAGCACCACCAGCTTATCCATCACCAAATCTTACGTGGTATGTCAACGATCAAAGGGTAAGTTAAATTGAAGAAATTTTAACCGAATGAGGATTTAAATGATTTTTTTGTTCACGTATTAATCAAAGAATTCGTGTTAAATTCGTTGAGGTTATCGTAGGACTATAAAACCTTCTCGATTCAACCCGTTTAGAATTTTAACGAGTTGGGTTAGCGAGAATGAATCCGCTCTTATTCTGGGGAATTCGTTTCCGGGTCGAGGGCTCGTGGGAAGTGGTTGAAGACAATTCGAGTCGTATATCCATAATGCATCCGGTCGTCGACGACTGCCGGTAGCGACTCTCCACGCTAATCATTGATTCAATTATTGTCGAAGTTCATAATTGGAAGCCGACAACAAACGGCCGCACCTGTCCGGATCGTCTTTGTTCGCGGGTTGCGCTCTCGTCCCTTAATTGGAAAGCCAGTTTTAGTGCTTCGTTATGACTTCCATCACACATCTACAACCTCCCCTTTTGGACAAGTGGAAGTCTGCAAGGTGTGATCCGGATTTTCGGGAATGTACGACCACCACCCTCGCTGCCTTTGAGTGGTTATAACCAATTGAGAATAGTTGTGGAATTTGTATAACTAAATTTATCAAAAGTTTAAATTGATCTGACAACTAAAATATATTCTAAACTAAGTTTTTATTTTATTATTTAAAATATGAACTGTACTAATTAATTCGACTAATAATTACAGAAACTAATAACACGGTGTGCTGAGAGAGAGGCAGAATTTCGATAAGCTTACTGATATGAACAATTTCACAGTTAGTTCCGCATAGGAGTAACTATTAGCGATGCAGAGTAAGCGGCTAGAAGTTGAACTAGCCGAGGACCCGGAGCGAAACGGCAGCAATGAGGAAAGGACGACGGTAAATATTTGAGCGGGGTGCCCATTAGAATCGCGCTGTGCACTCGTACAATTTAAGTTTTCTTAGGGCGACCTAATTGCCCCCCCTTGAAACAAACAACTGCAGCAGAGCCCCCTCGGACTACCACCCCAGGTTCCGCTTCAAGACCCAGGATTCCGCATAAATCAATTAGAGAAACAATTACGGCAACGGAATTAAAATTGAACGAATTTACAACAAATTAAATTTAACGAGTAACTTTGGAATTTCAATAAAGTGTTTTGTGTGGCAAAAATACTATTATTGACGTTGATAAAAAGATGTTACCTAATATTACTTAATAGTTTGATCACTACTTATAAACTCAGGAAATTGATAAAACTTTTCTTCGTGTTTTCCTCAACGACTTTGCTTTGACGTATTTTTTTTTTGTATCGGATCGGAAAGTTGAAAATATTAAAAGTTACTATTGTGTATCTAAAGTTGCGTTGTTTAAGAAAAGAACTTGTTTTCAAGTGACGAAGCGAAATTTATATTTTTCGGTGATCTGAGAAATACCTTGTTAATTTTTTCCAATGTGCATTAGAATGATGAACCTCAGCCGCAAGTGACTTCTTTTTAAAGAGGCTTAATTTAAAGATAAAATGGATTTTTTGCTTGATTCAACCGAAGCAATACAATATCATTTCAATTGTACTGCCTCGGCCTCAAGCATCCTTGGTTTAACTTGCAAGAGTACTCTCTCTGCCGACATTCTCCACAGATATGTCCCATTCACATCAATCTCTGGGCTTTAATCCACGTTGATACTTTTGTTCCTTCCTGCAGTTCTCTTATCTCGTAGTTCAATGTGTCCATCCTCCCATGTTTGTATCATATTTTGGCCCATATATCCTTTGTAAGTTCTTTCTTTCAAACTCTTTGTACAGATTATTGAGTGTCCATGTTTCAGATCCATAGCTTACTATAGGGCCTATCTACGTCTTGTATAGCCTTCCTTTACAGCTTTTGCTTAAAAGTTTGGACGGTAGTAATTTGCCCAGCTCAAAAGCTGTTCTATTCCCTATTAGTATTTGGGCCTTTATTTCACTATCGATGTTGTTACTTTGATTTATGATGTAGCCTAGATATTTAAACTCATTCACCATGGTTGTTACCTCCAATTTGGATATTTACTGCTCCCTGTTGAATAAACAACCATGTACTTCCAACCAGAGCTACATCATTCGTATTTCGTACGGGTTCAGTATAATTCCTCGTATGGCCCTTTCCAGGACGCTTCACACCGCGTTTAATTTCAAACTCCTCTGACAGAAAGTTGTCTATTTTACATTGACTCTTAGTTTCTTCCACTGCAGCTCTTATCAGTTATCGTATCTTTTGTGATACTTGGAACTCTTCCAGCATTTTCCAAATTTCGTATTATTTTGCTCTATCATAAGCCATTTTACCCGACGTCATCATTTCAAGTATACAACCAGTATCACAGTATTGGTATTGCAATACGCTAATCGCGTATTGTGCGATTTGTACTGTGATATTGGTTGCATACTTGTAATGATGACATTGGGTACGATAATTAATTAACACACTGTATATTCGTGTGTAACTAGTGAATGTCTATCTTAATTCTTAACTATACAACATGTATAATGCTGTTAACAAACTTACTCGTGTTTTGTGATTATATTGAAGTAGGGGAGCTTTTCTCCCTGTACGTGGAAAAGGTAAAGTTATTGACTAAACTCCGGCTGAGGTCGCTAATGCGGTCGGCATAAAAGGCAAATTAATGGTCGTAGTATTTAACCGACGCGGACCGCGCTCTAATCCCGGCAGGATAAAGGACGAATTACGACAATTACTGTCAATTACGTGAGGGCGACAGTGTACCACCGACCCACTAATATACGCACTAATAAGTCCACAACCAAAACCAGGCCCACAGTTCTACACACGTCGAATCACGCCCACCGTTAATTAATTGATTAGTTTAATCTGTTAATTATAATGGTCCTTAATTACAATCCTCATGTTCATTGGGTCTCTTGTGAACAATCGCGTCAGAGATTACAAACTTGTTTGGAAAAGTGATTTTCTTAAAAAGCAAAATTAAAATGGGTTTGGCGAAATATCGATAACGAAAACGGGAAAAAAGCAAGGACAGGAAAATCCCCCGGGTATTTTTCAATACTTGATTTGATTATGAAAGTCCCCACGACAATACGACTCTCTCTTTCCGTCTTCCCTTGAGCATTGTGAACTTTGCTAACTTTTAGAATTAGCTTCAGCGAAATTTTTTGATTCCGACTTTTAAATGAACTTTGTCGTTTTTAAACTTGGAAAGAGTAAATTTTCGCGATAAATTCACTTCCTCGAAAAATCCGCGCGCCCTATGCATGAGTTGGTATTAATAATGAATAAACCGGGGGGAGTTTGCCCTCCCGCCGCGTTTTCCTCCAGAGAGACCGAGAACCGTTCCTGCAACCTTTAAAAGTCCATTAACTTTCAAAGTACGAAGTAGTGGCTTCTACGTTTCATGCCGGCAAAGAGAGACAGAACGAGAGGATAATGTAAATATTACTTTGAGGGTTGGTGTTCTACTGCGTGTATAAGTAAGATGTATCCGTAGCAGCAAAAGGAGGGGTCTTTTGCTGCTACGGATACATCCACTTCTCTCCTGCCGGAAGTGGCACGGTTTAATTGTCATTCCGGTCCGGATGTCTGAATACGCGGAAGTTAGACTTGAAATTGTACTTACTCCAACGAAATACGATTAACATCTTGAATAAAAAAAACAAAAGATAAGAATTAATCTCGTTAATAAATCTATCTCTTTTTGTTATTCTTTGGGGGGATGAAATAGAACAAAAACGTAATCTTTCCATTTATTCGTCATCACAAAAACCTTGTGTGGTGTGTATAAAAATAGGAGTATTTCAGAAGTAAATGGTTGTGATACCCAATCAATCCTTCCTTATCGAGTTACTTGGATCGTTGCCCCTTTTTGTCTTTTTCGTTATAGAAGGTGCTGACGGAAGAAGAACCGTCGTCGTCGTCTCCTGATCTCACGATGGATCCCCACGATATATCTCCGTGATTGTTTACTTAAAATATTGAATTTTCTTGGTACACGAAACCCTAGTTTTCGAGAGAAAGAGCTGATATGGAACAAAACCCGAGGATTTTCTTAATCCTAGCCTATGTTCTATAAGTTACTCAATTTAAACTTTAAAAATTGTATTATGTTGAGATTGCAGAACTTGTAAATAAACATGTATTCTTAATTCAAACCTTTAAACGTTAAAGATCTTTTATAATATAATTATGAAATAAAATAAAATAATTTTTACAAACTTTTGTGTTAATGGGTAAGAAAATTCATAAAACTTTGTTATCCCCTATTATAATCACGATGAGAAAATCCGTTTTAATGTAACGTCCTTTATGGTTAAAACTTTGTATGAAATTAAAACTATTTCTCCTAATCGCATAATTCCTCCTCTTGAAAGTTAAAAGTCAGTCGACGAGTCTTAAGAAGAGATAACTGGGATGGCATCAGACTGGCGGCGAAGCATAAAACGTAACATCTTTTAGTCGTTCAAAAAGTAGTATTTATTAACGTCATTCTGTCGTCTCACGACGACATCTTTTTACGTGTTTCTTTTTTGCTATCTTGATGTCGATCTATCGAAAGTACGTTATCCGGGTAGACGCAAAAATATGTCGCCGTCATCCGGAAGAGAGTGTGGAAAAACGCCGTGCAAAGGGCCATCAGCGTCATCGCAGCGGATGATTTATCGCCAGTAGAAGAGCTGTAAAAGCTCGCGGGCGTTTTCTTTTTCCGTTTATACATTTTTGGAATAATCGCAGGACGCGACATACATCAAACGTAATCCTCTTGTGCACAAGCCCAACCCTTCTTCTTCATCTTCAACTAAAATAAATCATAGACTTTTCTTCTCAGCCCTGACGGTTACATTAGGAAATTACCAGCCGAACGTATAAGATGAAAATGGAAATGGAAACTGTGGAGGTCGGAATAGGAAGTTGTGGTTGAAAAAGTTAACGCTACTACTCGAGAACCAAAAGCGGATTTACTTTATTGGGTTTCAGGCACGGAAAATTTGAATTACGTGTCGCTCTCGAGGCTGTACATGGG